CAGGACCGGAGACGGGTCAGCGACCAGGTTGGAGATGTCGAACACATGACAGGGCCGCGGTACCACCAGCACGGAGGCTGTGTCCACATCGGATGCCCACCTCTGGAGGGGAAGGAGGGAAGGAAGGAACAGATACAGGCGCGTTGTCCAACGAGTAGACCCCATAACGGAGGAGAAACTATGACCCCCAGTTCCTGTCAGATATTTGCAGGTGAGCTCAATTATCTCCTGAAGGATAACTGGAATATATATATAGAAATAATAATGCAGTTAAACTAAACTTTAGTGGATAACCGAAATCATGTCCTCTTGGAGATTAAAGGATCGGAGTTGAGGATACTCAGATAGCAGACATTTCATGTGGTGAACATCGCCATGCAATCCCTGCCCCACCACACTGAGCCTATCTGGGGCGCCCAACCATACATCTATTTTTATGGAAGCATCATTGAAGAAATACCACTAAGCCTCAGTGACATAGACGAGATTATTAAATGATGTTACTATGCCTAATCATTAACAACCTAGTGCTAGGTTTTTAATTGCTCACTCTCCACCCACTCAGTAACTATGTCAAAGCACGTTCCCTGGAGGGATAGCTAGCCTGGTGGTGGAAGTGTTGGATATTCATCTTACCTCATTGACCCAAAATGTCTCATTGGGGTGGGGTAAAGACTCCAGGTAGAAGCATTGCCCTGCCCGAATGGAGTTGGAGATAGACATGCCCTGCTGCATTGTACAACTTTGTCCTCCCATCTGACGTGTGCCATACCTATTTGCTTAGGGTGGGAGGGGTGAATAATATGCAACGTGTACTGCACTCGCGATACTCTGAGAGGCCTGTTATCTGCTTGTTATTCTCTGTAAAGAAAGATAAGGGGAAGGAGAGCGATAACATAGTATTAGGTGCTGGGCGCGAAAAATGGATAATTGAAGACATAAAGCTCTTTCACAGATACGCACACACAGCCAAACACACTACCATATAAAAAAAGGGCTCCTATTTTATCTCTGCCTCGATCAAAAGTCTTCCTTATCCTCAAAACTAACTGTAGCGATGCCAGTGCTAGTGATCATTTTTTGATTAATAGATGGTTCTGAACACGACACGGCAGTTGCTGCGTGTCATCCCCTCTCTCTCTGCCCCCCTTTCCTGTCTGTCTTCAGCTGTCACTATAATAAAGGCAATAAAAGCCCAAAAAATATACTTAAAAAAATATACAAAAAATAAAAATAGATGTATGCCATGTAATAACCACACACCACCTTAATAATGCAGGTAAAGAAACCAGGGCATTGCTTCTGGGAAGACACATTGCTGTTATTTACCTTCTGCTTATTTACCTAATCTAAAATGGAATGGTGGCAGATATCTCGGCAGTGTGTAATGGATTAGGGCCGTAATTAACGATGATTTTCATTCTTGATTAATGTCAATAGAATGTCATGAAACAGTAAAAACCCCAAAACCAGGGGTTATTTCTTCGAACTGCTTGTTTTTTTTGGACAAACAGTCCAAAATATAAAATTTACAATCATATAAAACAAAGAAAAGCAGCAAATCTTCACATTTGAGAGAATGGAATTAGCAAATATTTGGCATCAAAATAGTTAATTTGACTAATCAACAAATCAAATAATTTTATCAGCTCTAATTTGAATGGACGAATGCATGTTGAATTTAGATTATAAACACTTAATAACAATAAACAGTGTGTAAATTCTTCTTCACACACACACTGTGGTTCAGCTTGTCCTCTCTGGCTTCATATTTTCATTTCTTTATTTATTCACCTCCTCAGCCATCCCTCATGAATGAACATGCATGGCTCACGCCTGTAAATTAGGGTCAGATATTCACTGCATTTACCAAACCAGGATATTAAACTGCAGATCCGGTAATAGAGATCCAATCTTGATTATTAGTGAGATGCACCGCCCCTGGATACAAAAACCACGGCAACAGCACTTACACCAGAGTTTCTCATTTTGTCCTGTTTCCAGGCACAAACACCCTCATCCACATGCGCACACACACCCACACACAGCCATGGAACCATGTAAAAATAGCCCAACGGGCCTTATCTACATAAATATGCACATGCACATAGGCATAAATACAGTGGTCCTAGACTGTGCAACAATGGAATCCTCTGCAGGGAAAGGGCAGGGGAAATAACTCAGGAGAGAGAAACTCGAAGCACATCCTCCTCCAGTTTTTACCCATAAACTGAACCCCCCCTATCTTAGATCAGACTGTGTGGAAAGAAACAAAACCTCTTGGGTGATAAACACAGAGCAGGAGCTTTATTTGATGTTAAAAAAATATGTGTATACATAAAAAAGATATATAAACACTCCCAATTTGTCCTCATCTGTGCCTCTCCAACTACCCCTTATCTAGTCTCAACAGAAACCCTGATTTATTGGTCTTAAAGTGAGTAAGTAAAGAAAGAGTGAATGATGCATATCGTGGCAATTAATTGGAAAAATGAAAGAGGGACACATTTCATTCTTGCATTTGCCCTTCCCCTCACATCACATGTTAACACCGACTCCTTTCCACTCATGAAGCAGAACACTATACAAATAATCCTCTCTGCCTTCCTGGATGTCTAACACTATCCCACCGCTTCCTGTCTCCATTGTGGATCAACAAGGATCCATGTTAAAGCCCACACTCCCCACAACAGAGTGGTAGAAAGAAATGGGTTTCCATTTCCTTTGTGAAATGCAACTGCGTTCTGGCAAAGTAACTAAGTCATGTGTCTTGTGGGGAAGAAGTGCATGTGATGCCTAAACAGACAATTTTAAGTTGATGATTAATTGCTTCTACTAGCTTCTACTACATACCTGTACAAAGAGCGGGTAGGTCTCATTGTTGACGGTGTGCGAGTGGTAAAACTCGCCATCGTACCACAGGACCTTGCCCATTGGCGAGTTCTCCTTGGTGACCGCGAACATCCTCCGTGGATCGCAGCACTCTGTCAGCAACTTCCTGTGCAAAAGAGGATGTGGGCAGTAATGAATCTGGTCTCTTGTGATCTCTTGAGAGTTTGACACAAATTGGATTGAACAGGGCAGCTGCGATTAGGTGAGGGACAGGCTAAAATATTGGAGTCATTATTTGCCCAGAGACACACAGATCAAGATGTGTATTGATGAGACAAGACAGAACCACTGGGTAAAGTCAAATGCTGCACAACAGAGGAAATGGTCAGATATTTTGGGTTTGTGTAGTACAATGCCACAGCATTGTAAGGATTTTGGCAGAAGATAACTCATGAAATGCTTCAATAGCAGGGACTCTCCTCAGCCTTTTCACTCTCTCGGCTGTTAAATCTCAAGAATCCACTGGACGAAACAAAAGGTCCTCAAAGCTCTGTGACATTAAAACCACCGCTCCAAGTGAGCATCACATCCCGCTGCAGGCCCTGTCCACTGCTCTGCAGGCGTCACCTTCTTTTCGTGACCCTAATCGGCTTTCCCTCGGAGAGTTGTCTGCACACATTATCGAGTGAACAAGGTTTAAAGAAGACGCCACAGTGCAACTAAAAATGCTGTGTTGATCAGGTTTTGCTTTCCCTGCCACAGCCCGCACAGTCTGTGGCACTAAATAAAAACAGTGTTTGTAATATGTTTCCATCTCTTCTATCTTGCAAAGTTTAGGAATGTTTTTGCAGAATTACAGCTGTAATTTTTTGCCAGATTTAGGGATTTTATGAAATGCGTAAACTAATTACTATTTTCATTAATGGGTATCTGTTACAGCCTCATCATAATGACACAATGCACATAATGTCCAGGGACTCCAACTACAGACAAAGGAGGTCACAAGCACAATTTGTTCTCAAGACACCTAACTGATAATAGGGTTGCTTCATATGACTTATTAAACCTGTTATGCATTGTTTTGTTAGTATTAAACAGGACTAGGTTAAAAAAAACACATAAACAAAAAGGGGAAATCTTTCTGGTGACCTATAGTGGAACCCACTTAAAGACAGCTGGGGGCCGCACTTTGGGAACCACTGCTGCAAACCAAAGAACATAAAAGCTGATCCCTGACACGAACCTGTACAAATCGATGCCGGTCTGGTTCTTCTGCCATACCTCCCCCTGCCTCAGCACCTCTTCCACTATTTCTTTATCGCGGGGGAGTCTGTAGCCGGGGAAAATGTAAAACCAGCAGAGCACCAGCACGCACAGAGCGGCCCACACCGACAGCTTGCCCCGGTAGCATCGCACCAACATCTTTCCCCCCCTTCTTGTCTGCCTGCACGGCTTCAAAACAACCGATGCATGCACACGAACACAGGTGCAGTAATACGCAGACTCGGTTCAAAGCTGGTCTCTCCGTCCGCTGCAGATCCCCCGTCTCATCCCGCACACGGGGGTGGAGTATGAATGGAGCTTGACAGGGAGTCTGTTACCGGGTTTTTCGGCTCACGCATCGGTCTGGAAATCCGGTTTTGTTTTGGTGAGGCTCTGATGGAGAGAAACATAAGCGTCCGGCCCCGCAGCAGCTCACACCGGGTTGCGGGCTTGTGGTGCAGTGTGTCGGGCTCTGCAGGAATCCGCCGCTCTGCCCTCGGTGCATCACCACCATCATTACAGCCTGCGGATTGTGAGGAATCATGCGGGGGCCCCCTCCTCCCCGCCCGCTGTCCCGCTGTATCCTAATCTGAAAGGGGGTCTTGCGTGCGTCCCCGATCCGGTCCACCTTGATCCCTCTTTCTCCCGCCCGCACGGGTCCTCTCCTCGGGCCTCCTCGGTCCTCGTCCTGCTGCAGGGTCTGCGCTGTAAAGTGGGCCGGGCGAGTCCAATTGAGACTCCCACCACCACCCACTCTCTCTCCTGTCAACACCCCCTCGGCCGAGACAAAGTGCTTCTTGTGCTGCTGGATGCGCGTCAAGCTCGTTAGAAACCAGGCTGAGAACGGAAGTTATTTTTCAAAATAAAACTGTAGCTATGCCTGTTCATCTTCCATTCTAGCGCAACAGAATTTACAATGATGGCAGATTTACCACTAAAAATTCACAGTTATTATTTGTATATACACAAACTGTATCTTAGATTACATGTTTAAGTAAAAGAAGGCAGAGCTCGCATTTCTAGCAGACAATCCTTTATTCTAGCAGCTTAAACAGCACACAGTGGCCAAATAAATAACGCTCAAAGACTGAGGCTACAGCTACAAGTTGCAGGCAGAAAGTCAGAATCCTCACCAGGTGATGGAAATAAAAGAGCAACATTTGTGTGTTTAAGAGTAGAGGTAGTCAGACCTAGTATTATAGGTCACTGAAATGTTAACACACCCATAGGCAGTGGCTGGAGTTATTTTCAAACACAATGCTTTATTTGACTAGAGAGAAATGATGTAAACATGACACTATTTTGGGACAGGACATTATTCAAAAAATATTAAACATTTGCAAAAAAAAACAAAAAAAAAAAACGCACCGTTATATATAAACCGGAATATTTTGGATGTTATCTGTATGGTTAAATGTACAATGTACCTTTTCATGATTCATGATATACTGTCCCTGAAATGATGAGTTTTGTGGGTGTGGACAATGCTTGTCTGAACAGCACAAGCTTTTATTGAAGCCACTAAAGGTAGTGGTCCATGGGGTTGTGAACATGTTGCATCCTACATGGTTACCTCTGAAGCTCCCATTCTTTTCTACAATATTCTTATAAAGTAGAAGACACACAAATAGGGTTAGGGTTAGGGTTTTTGCATGCAAGTTGGCTTATAATTTGTAAAAGCCACATATAAATGAATAAATGGGTCTAGGCAGAGGCCCAGGAGTCCAGTGGTTCAGGGGCCCATAACCTAGAGCCTCTGTATGAAGTGACTCTTTTTATAGTTTCATGTTGGAAGAGGTTAAAAGTAGAGCTCTTTTTTTATCCCCATACTGATTGAGTGTATTTAATTTACTTTTCTTTTCTTTTTTTCTTTTTTTTTGGCTAAGTACGAGAGCCTTTTACATGTCAGTACGCAGGGGCCAATTGGCTCATTAACAATGGCAAAAAAGAGACACAGCTTTAACCATGTGGCATTGTTTCTAATTTTATACCCTTTTAGAAATCACAGCACTACAATTAAAAAGGATTTAGTTAGGCACACATCATTTTCTACATTATTTTGGACTTTTAATCTGCTGTAATTTATCCATTTGTTAACATGAGTATTATTTTGAAAGTCCTGCTTCAAAGTCCTTGCTTTTATTCTCTGTGCTTGACACTGGCTGCTGCGAAATGAGAGTGTCTAGTCTCGGTTTCCCGCTGAGAGTTGTGTTGTGATGTGCTGTCGCCCCCTGCTGGACCGAGTCTGCACTGAAGGAAAAAGGGGCTGGAAGATGATTGATGGAGATGCTGCTGCAGCTGTATCACAGTACCACACCCTAACTCCACATTAAAGTCACCTTATAATGTTATCTTATCCCCCCACATACACACACACACACATATTCTACCATTAGCTGTTATGCGATATTGAGCACTCACATTCTGTCCTACAATATTACATAATTTTTAATCTATTTAGATTTTTATGCACACCAGCAGCTGCAGAGCTTTGTAATAATAAGGCTCTACTGACCTCCTGTGGACAAAGTCAGTGTTCAGACTTTATTGTAGTGCCCTTCTCCATAAATACGATCACATGTGAGGACTCACGGGACATTTTTAGTAACTTGAACTTTTTAACTTGGCTGCCGGCTCTGTTTTATCTCTGGATGTCTTTGTGGGAGAAGTTGGTGCCTTGAATATTGTGTTCATGAGGACCAGATGTCTTTTGATTTCAAAAATCGTTAATTCTTTATAGAAAGTGGTTATCAGGCAATTCTTATCACTATAGGAGTTAGATTTAAGGGTAACGTTAGGATTAGGGACATAATTATACATGACCTACAGGCTATTTGTGTGCATTTGTTTCTGTGTATAATAGACTGTCCAGCTGCATTGTTTTTAAATAGACTTCACCCTCTCTAGCCATCTTGGGGAATAATGCAGATGGTTTAAGGTTAAAGGTTGGCTTCTATCACCTCTCAAAGGAGAAACATGTCTTAATTTGGAGGAATTGCTGAATTTGAAAAATTATCTTTTATTTGTTTACACATTAAATTATTATCACAGATATGGTATGCACACAAAACAACATTCACATACAAAGACACATTTACCTACATATACTCAGATATACGTTCATTTAAAGTGGACAAAAGCTTATAGCTTATAGACCACTCCTAAAAACTCAAGACATAAAATAATTATTTCTCATTCTAGTTGTCCAACAAAACAAAATTGTCCCATGCTTGGGGAGTACCGTATTACATGGAACTGAGTTACGTAATCAGGATACAAAAAAGGACAGCTGGAATCCATTAGAGTTACAAAAAAAAAAAATCAGATACTATTACTGTAATACTGTTACATTTAGTAAAAATGGGGAGCATTAGCAGGATTACTATTTTAAAATTATATCAGTTTTTCTTTTAAAATACCCAGAGCAAGGACACATTTTTTACACCATGAGCATTGGTTTCCATTTTCTTTTCAAAGGTTTTTATTGTTCTGTTGTCTTATAGAATACACTTACATCAGTAAATCTTATCGAGATTTCTTCTATACTGTCTTTATTTACATATTTGATGTTAATGTAATCTAAAAATAATGAAAAGTAATCCAGTTATGTGACTTTAATACTTGGATTAGGTTAATGACTACACTTTTAACAGGTAATAAGTAACGGTATCGTATTACATTTTTAAAGTAACCCCCCCAGCCATGTCACAAAAAAACATAATTTAACAAATAAAGAAATAAAAATACACACTATTCATAAATACACAATAGTAATCACATAGAAAAAAACATACAAATACAATAATTCCTAAAACAAAAGCACACCTTTATAATTTTTTAACTTAAGATGCCTACAGCCAAGTACACAATAATAACAACCATCCTACAGTTATCTCACAGTGCCCACTATCCGAATATATAGGCTGATAGAAGTGAGGGTAGCTGAGAAATGTTGGCTACTCAGGGCACACGCTGCACCCTATTGGGAATATTCGAGGGCAGTGTCAAGGTTAGAGCACCGGGCAGAGAGATGCCATGGCGGGCCACTTGGCTGCGGTCATCTGTCAGCTGCTCTCAGTGCCCTGTGTCCAAAACAAAGCTGCCACTATGGAAGTCTGTACAAGATCCAGAAAGTGCAAGGAGATGGGCAGGGTTGCAGAGGTACAGAGTGATGGGGGAAAACACCTGATATCTTGTTGGATATTGACAATGTTGTGATTATAAAGAAAATATATTAGATTTAAAGAAGAGTAGTAGTTGTGGAAGAAGTATTTTACTAAAATGTTTTACCAAAGCAAAAGTAGTGACACTAAGGTTTAAAAATACTCTTGTACAAGGAGAAGTCTTGCATTCAAGTATTATCAATTGCAAATAGAATACAAGATTTCCCTGTTACATGTAGTGAAAATTAAAAAGTAGTATAAAATGGAAATATTTAAATAAAGTACCTCAAAATTATACCAAAGTGCAGTACTTTAGTTAAAGTATTCACCTCCACTGGTCTGATGAAGATCTGAGTAATAATCCTCTCATAAATGATCTCCTTTACTGATGCCTTGTATTTTCTAGACTCATCAGGTTTTGTGTAGGAAATCTTACACTGTAAAGTAACTGATAATTATAGCTTTTAAGTAAAAGTAGCGCAGTAAAACGTAAATTTTCCCCTGAAATGTAGTCGAGTGGAAGTATGAAGTAACATAAAATGGAAATACTCAAGTACAAGCACCAAAGTGCAATTTTGAAGTGCTCTATTTGAATAAATGTACTCACCACTGAGGATAGAAATATTAAGTTTCAGCATCTCCTATGAAATATGCTTGAACCATGCTTGGGTCCGGTTACAATCCAAAGTGGTTTCAAATGATAACACAGACCCCAAAGTCAGCAACTCATGGCTGAGCTGACTGGGTCATGATGATGTGTCAGAAGGATTATATAGCAGGCGACTGACAATAAATAAATAACACTTCAAAGATCAGGTGAGAACGATGTCCCTTTTTCTGTATTTCCATCCCAAAAGGTTCAAAATGAGTTCAATTGTTCAGATTTACGACCACATATGGAGAACTATGGGGCGACACATTGAGCTGTCACCTTCCTATTTATGAAAGCAGCAACAGTAGAAAGTGCATTACAAGCACACTTCCCCGATACCAAGGCCTCCCTATTTGTTTCTTTCTGTGTG